GTTCAGATCACTCCCCGCCCTCTGTGAGCTCTAAGTTTTATTATCATCGGTATGGCTAGGTCAAATAATCGCCATTGATTGAAGATCGCGGTTATGCGTTTTCTTGCTCCTCTGCTTGTGTTATACGCAGCACAATCCCAATACTATTGACTCTAAAATTAATGCTTTCAAGCCCAAAGGATGTGATGAACGAAATTCCAAAGCCAAACTACAATCATTATACTCATTTCTGAACCAACGATGCAAGGACACTGGATGGCCTAATTGCAAGTCAAACTTGACCTTACGTCGATATCTGAACCTAGCTACTATCAAATTGATACTTTATGGAGATATAAGCATAAATCCAGGTCCCAGTACTGTGAAATATCCTTGTCAGATCTGTAGAAAAGCAGTTAAGTGGAAGCAAAAAGGGAATGCTGGTATCATGACGTTTGCTTAAGTAAACTGATTTCCAAAATTTATTATTTCCAAAAAGAAGAAAAGACATTGGCAAGAGGCAAAATATCTAACAAAGAGAGCGACTTTTCTAGATATAGATCTCGATATTTGCTGATGACTGCATACTTTACAAAAAGACGTGGATAATATTCAAAATGGTGCAAAGATAGGTTAACGAATCTTCATTTTGACAAATGTAAAACGCTTAAAGTGACAAGGAACAGATAGCCACAAGCTTAAACATATATTATTCAGAAGAAATATGAGCGATTGCCCACGTGACGAAAATGCGAACTGCTACATACATGTCAACAGTCTGGGACTCGCATACGATAAGAAATGTCAATAAAATCGAATCATAGAATAGAGATTAAAAATCTCTATTCTGTGATCGAATGAGGCTTAAGATCTGTAAAAATCTTGTTGAAATTCCTGTTTCCTGCTTCACTCGTGTAAACCTACATGGACGTCGTTCAGAGCAAGTCTTTGCCATCTCCTTTTGTAGAACAGATACCCTTAAATATTCTTTTATTCTAACAGGTGTAAAGATCTGGAATAGTTTAACACCAGAATGCAGTCTCCAGGGTCGGTCAATTTTGTATTTTTTCAACTATCATCAATAACTAACATATTAAATTCTAATCTCATATTTGAATTAAATTAAAGGGCAGAAATGGTTGCAATAATTGGTATCAGCAATCTTTATACTTGATCAATTCCCTTGATATGGTAAAATGAAGACATGTCAGTGATCCAGAGAGTTATTTACTAAACTATAGCCTGCGTCACGCAGGCTACTAAACTATTGCTAATAATAGATAAAGAATAAAAATATACGTAAATTAGTTAGTAAGAAGATCAAATAAAGTCAATCTGTATATTAACAGTTTGCTCTCTTTTTATTTCATACTCTGTTTTCAAAAGCAATAGGAAAACGCTCCATTCCCCAACACCGCCGCATCCAACCCCCCAGCCCCCCGCCCCGCCCCTCCCCCACACCCAGTAGTGCCGTCTGTCAAATGTTTCGACAATGCTCCTTATGAAAGTTTGAAAGTGAATGTGCACCTGCATTTTTGGCTAAACTTGTTATTGCCTGGAGCAGCCTGAAGTATTGTCGTTAGTAGACTCCATAGTTTTGTTTAGATGTCGCCCATACAATTTCTATAGTATCGCCTCCCGTGAGGCGTCGTCTACGCGTGTTGAAAACATGTCTGATGGCCCTGTGAAACTGAGATTTGCTGCCAATCTATCGTTCCTTTTCCAAGACATAGCCTGTTTGCCAGAGAGGTATATTGCTGCAAAGAGAGCAGGTATATTCGACTTTGCATCTTTTAGAGTATAGATTTTTTTAGATCATTAGATATGCAGAGGTGTTTGATGTCGGCCTCCTGTTTACCGATTTCCACCGGTAGGCCGATTCTAACTCCTACAAGGTCATACGAAAATAAACAGGCACGAAATAGGAAGGTTCCTTGCGTCAGTTGTTTTTAAAATTAGTTTTCAGTGAGAAACGAAGGTTGCAGTTTGAGGTCCTTGAACTCTTATATGTAATCTAGCTTGGAAAGTTGTCCTTCTTTCGGACGCTTTTTCGACCTGTGTATCTTTGCACAGAGGTCGAAAACTGTGCATCTTTGCGTGTGTCATGTTTTTTCATTTCGAAAACATTATTACAAATAGCTTCTTATTATTCAAACATTTTTGCCGCTTATATAACAAATATTGTTTTGATACTTTAACTGCAGGAATTGATATAATTTGGAAGAGACAGGTGATCTCAGGTTAAAAGTTGTGCGTGAATAGGGGCAGTAGACAGAGTCAAGAAATTAAATTTTTTGCACGGCATCATTTTAGTATTTGTGCAAAGATAAGATGGGGGATCTGAAAATGATGTGCCGTCGAGGATTACATGGAGTTTTGAAGAGTTATCTAATGTTTTGTTAACTCATTGCTCAGTCTCCCATAGCCCCCCCCCCCCCCCCCTCAGCACTTTACCCCTGGGATTCATAGACAAAGTGTGATTCCACATCTAGAAAGAAAATATGCTATCATAAGTACATTTAGTGAAACTGCATACAAAAAACTGTTTCACAACTGAGAAAACTGAAAAGCCTCAAAGCACTGAGGCCTAAAAGAAAAAGACTAGCTGTAGCCATCAAGAAAACTCTGAAAAGGTTAAATGTCAAAGTGGGAGTCAGCAAAATATGATGAAATTTTCAGAGAATTAATGTTGGAAAGATGAATGAAAAAGGATCCTGCACAAGCTTCATATTATGTGGGCCGATAAGCTTTGGATATATTATAAACTTTCTGCTGATAAATGGGCACATATTAAATGCTCAAATCTTTACGATTTCCTCAGAAATTTCTCGAAACTTAAATGAAGTTAATTAGAATTCAAACTGCAATGTATTCGGTAATTTTCATTTTGAAAACTCGGTATTATGGTAATGTCAAAATATCCTTGTGAAATTATGGTAATAGGAAAATTTTCTTACAGAATCATGGCATTTGAAACACCCCAAAGACCCCTCCTCAGGATATTAATGCCAAAATTCATTTGATTAGGTCTATGATGCAGCATATCGTGGATTACCCAGACAGCGCTTCATATTAGCATAAAAAGATATGCTTTGCATTAAAACAGGATTAAACTGCTTCATAGTTTTGAAGATTTTGATAGAGAAACATGCATTTTAATTTTTGAAGAATGAGAGCGGAGAATGATTATTATTCAACAGAAATCTTAGTGCTCTCCCTTGTACATTCAACTTCTTGATGATTTTGCAGATGAAAAATGCTGCACCAAGGGGCAGCAATTGAAGTTTGACTGACTAAAACATTGAACAAGTATTTTCCTTTCTTCAAAACCATTTAATTATCTTATAGTCCTATAAAAGTCCTATATCTTCAAAACCAAGAAATAGTTGCTACCAATTCAAAAACCAGAATATGGAAAAATACATTCTAGTATCAGTAGGCAGGGTCACTGCAAGGTTTCAGGGCCTAGGGCCAAATCCTGATGTGGAGGCTCCTGCAAGCAAAGCCAGCGAAAAATTTTGTGACCACGCCCTTCAGATTAGCTTAAAACACTTTTAATGTGATCGTTTAAAGCTTTTCACTATTTTCTAGGCATATTTGTCTGTTTTAGTAATTTCGTTCTTAAAACTGAATTCTTTACTTCAGATCCCATAGACCCAGAGGCCCTGAGACAATCTGCTTCCTCTGCCCCCTTGACCACCTTAACAATCTTATCATCCTGAAAAAACCTTTACCATGTTCACATGATGAAAAACCCTCATATTGATTATCTCACACTAGCCACCACTGTCAGGCAACAGTCTTGTGTACTAAAAGTATGTGAATTAGGGCTATCAGGCTAAGTGGCTATTCTATAATATTTTGTCACATTTATAGTATATAGTTTTATGTCTTTCTTAAATGTGTGCATCACACATCTAAAAAAGAGCTTGCAAACAGAATAAACTTTAAGAACAAAATTTAAAGCTGGTAAAGCTATAGCGCTAAGAAGATCTAGAAGCTCATTATAATGATCTTTATTAATTATTACTGACCCTATTGATTTCAGATCTATATTGCATTTGAAAAAGATAAAAAGATGGCTTATAATCAAGTTTCAATTACAATCTTATTCTTTAATTTAAGATGTGTCCCAAAGAGATGACATTTCCTTTAGAAATGAGTATTGAGCAAAATGTAGGCTATTCAGGATTATGTGCCTCACATGATTAAAAATAATCATCTTCTGTATATATATTTTTTCCCAAATGTTTTGTTGCCAACATAAACACCATACCACAGGGAGCATGGAAATACCT